TGGAGTGGAAAGGAGTGTTGCTAAGTGCTCCTCAACAGCTGATGTTTGTCTCGCCACCAGGCAGTCACTCAATAATACCCTCACTGGATGCTTATTGTCTTAATTCCTGTGTGCATGTGCATTTTTTGTTTTTTAGTTAATATACATTGTTGCTCTAAGGTAATTTACTGATATTCAGATATGATAGCAAGTTATGAATCACTCTCTTGATTTAGTGTCTACATACCAGTATTAGAAAATTATATCCAGATTTTTGGGTGTAACAATATACTGTATCGCAAAAATCAACTCCACTCCTACACAAGGGAGCAAGTATGGTCACGGCTCACGCGCAGGCCACTCACACCAGTCAGTGCATGGGGGAGATGGGATGCTCATTGCTCCCATCCAGGGTTGTTGTGATTTAAATTTATTTAATTTAGTGGGGTTACCGGTGATTGGTTTTTTTTTTCTTGAGATTCTCTATGGTAGTATAACTGCAGTGAATATTATCCAACTATTAGGATGTAGTACAGGGGGTCCTTGTTATATGTTGTACTGGTATATGCAGGGTTGGCCAATTTAAATCAATGGTTTAAACCAAAAAATATATATACAGCTCCTCCCCGACTTACGACGGGGTTTGGGACCCAAATCCAGGTCGTAAGTCGAAAATGCTTAGATAATACATAGAAAATCTAAAATGGGTGTCTCTTTTTCTTCTCAGCACCACAAAACTCTCACTTTTAAGCATGCCAGCCATTTTAAAGTGAATTACACACGGAAATTTTGTCGGTACACAGCGCAATCACCGACGTTTGGACTCGAAAATACGTAATTTCACAAAATTTTGGTACGACTGAGGCGGTCGCATGTCCGGGTGGTCGTAAGTCGAGTAGGTCGTAAGTCGGGGAGGAGCTGTACTGTAATAATCTATGCCTTTGGGGGGGGGGGGGTTAATAAGTTTGTTGTTGTTTTTTATGACCTACAGATGGTTTTAATTATTTATAGTAGATTTGGAAAAGGTGTATATGATAGGGTGAACAGAAAAGCATTGTGGGAGGTATTAAAGTGTATGGGGTGGGAGGAAGGCTATTAAATGTAGTAAAAGCTGAGCTACATTAAGATTAATGGAAAATAAAGTGAAACATTTGAAATAAACATTGGTGTTCGACAGGCATGCATTATGTCCCCATGATTGTTCAGTATATATGTGGATGTGAACTATTATATATTGGTGAAAGTGGTGATAATTAGCTCTCTTACAGGGCTGCACACATATCAAATCCTGGTGACTGCTTTTGTATATGGTTGGTCTCTGAACCTCTGATTCTAATGTAAAAGTGAAATAGTTTTTTCCATGCATTAAGATGAACTTAAACTTAGTTTTTGCCTTTAAGCATGTAGGATGAGTCTGGATGACTGATGAAAGCTTGTGTTTTTCAAATTTGGCCTTTTCAGTGACTTTTTTATATGGAATAGACTATAAATGATTGCTAAATCTTCCTGAAGGTAATGTTTATGACTGATAGCATATTAAAACATTATATAAAGCACCTAAAACACTTGAAGCTTATTAAAACTAACATAATAGCATTAAAATATAAAAATAAAAATCATTTAAACAGTGGTTTTGGGGTTTTAAAAAACGGATTTTGTTAACTCTGGATATACAATAAAGTAGACCCTTGCCGTTTGCGATTCGTGATTTCGACAATTCGCGGGAAGCATATGGTGGCTAACTTGCAAGATTTTTCCTGCAGCACAGAGAGATACCCCACACAGCATCTTGTGTTGTACTCTCAGAACTTTAGTGTTTCTGTGTGAAATGGCCCCTAAAAGACTGCCTACAGTGCCTAGTGTCAGTGCTAGTGATGCTAGTGGAGTGAAATGTAGAAGGCAGAAGTCAGTGATGACCCTGACCAAGAAAGTTTTATTATTAGATAAGTTAAAAGAGGGGATGAGTGCTGCCACGGCTGGTCAGTTGTTTGGTATAGGTATACAGTCGTGCACTAAGGTAGTATAAGTTGCTATTTGCCAATTCGCGCCATTTCTTGGAACCTATCCCTCGTGAATGGCAAGGGTCCACTCTAAGTAATTTCACATGTAAATTGCTAACAAATACTGTATAGGAAGAATTTTTCATTATACAGTTGTACCCCACTTAACGCGGTCAATAGAACCCAGAGGGTCCCGTGTTAAGTGAAATCCGCGTTAAGTGAACAACAGAACATATGGGATTAATTCCAATAGAAACCGGCCCGACCCCCAAACTCCACTTTTTGAAGACACATAACTATGTTGTAGTAAAAATAACATCTTAATTTTATGATGGTACATACACACAATTAATACTTAAGAGAAATAGAGAAATACAGTCGCCAAGTTAATGTCCATTCAAATAATGGACTCAACTCCTCCCCCTCTCACACTACACTGCCGGCTCTTCCCTCTCTGAGAAATTTTTGAGAAAACCACTAAATTTTAATAAATAATACCTCAAACTAAAGTTAGGATAATACAATTGACATTGCTGGATTCCTTGTAAGACCAGGAATATTTTTGAATATAAATGTCATATATTTTGCACAAAAGTTACTCAGAAAATTTTTTTATCTAAAATTTGTATGTCTAATGCAAAATATATGATGTTTATATTCAAAATGATCACCAAATTATAAGAATTCCAGCAATGTAAATTATATTCTGGCCGGGTAATTTGTATGAATTTTATGAGCTAAAACAAATATCTTCAGTTAATAAAAAAAAAAATAATCTTCACGACACTATCTGTCAATCAAAGTACCCCACCTTGCCTCCCCCCTCTTCCAACCGCGCGGTCAGTCCCAACCCTCCCCCCCACCCCCCACCAATCCTCCCTTCAAGAGAAGAGTGGGTGAAAAAAATAAATTTTAACATTTTGTATTAAATAATACCTCAGATTAAAGTTAGGATAATATAATTGACATTGCTGGATTCCTTGTAAGACCAGGAATATTTTGAATATAAACGTCATATATTTTGCACAAAAGATAACATACTTACTCAGAAAATTTTTTTATCTAAAATTTGTATGTCTAATGCAAAATATATGATGTTTATATTCAAAATGATCATCAAATTATAAGAATTCCAGCAATGTAAATTATATTCTGGCCGGGTAATTTGTATGAATTTTATGAGCTAAAACAAATATCTTCAGTTAATAAAAAAAAAAAATAATCTTCAGGACACTATCTGTCAATCAAAGTACCCCACCTTGCCTTCCCCCCTCTTCCAACCGCACGGTCAGTCCCAACCCTCCCCCCCACCCCCCACCAATCATCCCTTCAAGAGAAGAGTGGGTGAAAAATTTAGATTTTAACATTTTGTATTAAATAATACCTCAGATTAAAGTTAGGATAATATAATTGACATTGCTGGATTCCTTGTAAGACCAGGAATATTTTGAATATAAACGTCATATATTTTGCACAAAAGATAACATACTTACTCAGATTAAACATTTTATCTAAAAATTTTATGTCTAATGCAAAATATATGATGTTTATATTCAAAATGATCACTTAGGTACTAAAATTCCAGCAATAAATTATCATTAACTTGAGTAATTTGTATGAATTTTATGAGCTAAAACAGGCAGTCAGGCAGGGTGGCGGGTGGGGCAAATCTAAAAATAGCGTCTCGAGCCGGACACTCACCGCGTATATGATGAAAAAATCCGTGTTAAGTGAAAGTTCAGCTCTGGCGAGGCACCGCGTATATGATAAAACACGTTAAGTGAAACCACGTTATGCGGGGTAATACTGTACTGTACGTTTTTTTTTTTCGCATATATGTCGTCTGCATCGTCCACTGTTTTATACTGAGTCTGTGTATCTGAGTATGATGCATAAATAGTGTTATAAACATCTGTGTAAAAATAACTATAATACGTAATAAAAGTGCCCTACAAGTGTTAAGTGTTTCTCATTCAACTGATACATATCGTTAATCAAAAGATAAGTTTACATGTACCCGGTCAATCACTTCTAAGGAATGTTAATGTTTATAAGACTTGCTTTTTGTTCATCTTACCAAGAAGTTAAAATTTTGTTACAGAGACAAGGCTGATGAGATTTAATTCAAGTTTCTGTGGCGTATTATGTCTGTTTATTTTAACTACCGGTAGGCTATAATCAAGTGTTAAAATTTATCAGTTTTATGTCAAGTTACATGGTATACCTCTGTCTTAAAAATGTATGATACCCCAAAGAAATTTCATTTAACCCTTAGTAAACCTTAGATGGAGAGAACAACATATTTTCATATACCGGTAAATGATGAAAACATAACAATCGGTTTATTTGTTTTTTTATTTATTTTTTTTTATTATTTTTTTTTTTTTTTCAAGAAAAATTTGATTTTAATTCAACCTTGCTCTTAGCACTTCACAACTTTTACAATGCTTTATCAGTCATTTTTCCAAAAGAATTCACAGCAAACTCTCAGGCTCATGGGTAAACATAGACAAGTGACATTAGAGGTGCAGAATTGGAACACAGAATCTTCAGTTTTTCACCTTTCCCAGTGATTCAAGCCATCGCTAAATCTAATTTTTACTAACATTAAATGAGAAAGTGTGTCAAAACATTTTTAAATCCAAAGTGAATTAATGTTAAATGAATTGACACTAAACAAGGGATATTTGTACAGTTTGTTTCTGGGGGGAGGTAATTTTTCCCAGAGAAAAGTACAGTATTTCCAGTTACTGGGTATGTAATGGAAATCAAGGAGAAAATAGGTTTCAATTCACAGAAATCTGAGTTATAGATAACTTTTCAGGAGGGTAACCTTTCCTTAACTTGAAGGATGCCAGTTAAATAATTTTGATGCCTTTTCTTTCCATCTTCAGCAGTATAGTAAAATATTTTAGACAATTATTTGTTTGTCTTGTTACATAATTATGTGATTTAAATTTAGTTGTACAGTACTTGTTTATTTATTATTTATTTATTTATTTTATATATTTTTAATTACAGATGAATCAGTATGCATCCATTGTAGCATCACTTGATACAAATAATCAGACAAACACCAGAACTTCACAACAAGATTCAGATCCAGCAACTGCAGCATCAGACTCCACAGTGATTCCACAGCAACCTGCTAAATCTACAGATGGGTCAGAAGCTCACCAAATAGCTACCTCGACACATATTCCTTTTGAGGAGAAACATACAACATCTGCCAGTAGTGAAGATCTTCCTGTAACCAAGTAAGCTTCAACCCCATTACATTGTATTGTCTAATTCAAATTTATTACTCTTGTAGAATCTCTTTCACCTTATATTTTCTTATCGTTTCTTAGAGACTACAAGACGACCACTTAAGCCCCTTTCATTTCAAAAATACTATTTCTATAAGGTAACATTTTTGGGGGTTTCAGCTTTGAAAAAGGAAGAACTGATGTTGCAGCTATGTGATGTTTTCTACTACTGCGTGAGTATTACTCCCACCCATGTTTCCCTTCATCAAAACATCTTGCAACTTTCATCAAAGCAATATTTGTTCTTCATTCTTATGATAATTACACTATAGAACATTGAGTAATGTTAATACTATTGTAGGATAGGCTCAGTATATTATTATACAGTTGTAATTGATAAATTATTATAAAAATAATCATATATGATACTGCACCTTTCTGGGGTTACAGAGTGACTGTTTTATTACTGTATAAGCTGTGACAGGTGTTCTCTGACAAACCTATACTGTGTAGATATATGCTACATTTGTGTGTCTGCCTATTGGCCCAGGAAATCATATTCTGCTATTTGGACATAAAGGTCAGAGACCTACAAAGATGAAAACCCCATGTTCATTTCCTGAGTTAATTACCTGGTGAAAACTGACAGTGAAAATAAACATTGTTGGGAGAGATGTAATTCAGACTCATTGCAGTATAGGTTGTAATAATCTATTTGGCCTTACTGATCAACCCCGTTCATAAATAACTGTTGAATCCCTTGAAGGATTCAACTATGCCCTTTAATCGAAGCATAAAGGAGCATATAATTAGTCCTAGAAAGAGACAACAGTATTGCGGTCATATCTGATTAATTTTAAGGCAGGATAACAACTTAGCATTTCCAAAATGAAATTTTTCTATAATTCTACCACAGACTAGACCCTTCAAGGGAACCAGAGTATCTTCTCAGTAGCCTTAGGCTATACCCTACATTGGGCAAAGAGAGCTGAATTATATGCCAGGAAATGGGGGCATGTTGCTGTGTCCATCTCATGAGCAAACTACTCACCAAGTCATAAAGCAATTGTAAACACTTAGGGTGCAATAATCGTACTTGTAATGTATAGTATAATAATGTCTTGGACTGTATAAAAACAGTCTACCTGGATGTGTATCCAAAACATACTATACAGGAAGCATTTGGATGGTTAGGGGGCACTGCAGGGACCTTTCTGGAAGATGTGTTAGACTTGATTGCCATAGAGTTCTTCAGCCCCATCCTTTATAAAAATCGACATCCAGATAACTCCACCAATGCTTTTAACAGATTATTATACTGCACTGTATTGTAGTTACAGTAGAATAATAGTTATTCAAACAAATGCTTGCATGAGATGGTCTAATTAGAACAAAAAAATTTATGGTATAATAAAGATTTTACCCCAGCAGTAAGCTGTTCTCCCCTCCCTGTACGATATAACCTGATACACTTGGTTTGTGAAAGGCAGAATGAAAAATATATATATATATATATATATATATATATATATATATATATATATATATATATATATATATATATATATATATATAATAGTTAAATCTCACTTTCAAGTCAATTGAACCCAGAGGGTCCCTGCTATGGAAACCGCTATGAATAACAGAACATATGGGACAATTCCAATAGAACCCAGTCCCAATTCCCCAAACCTAATTTTTGACTATAAATAACTATGTTCTCCCACTTTTGACGACAAATAACTTTATGTTGTAGTAAAATTCTATCTTAACTTTATGGTGGCATGGCTCGTAATATAGAAGAGTTGGGTTAGGAAGATAAAAGGTTAACATAGGAAAAATAAAAAATAGGTTAAAAAACAAAAATTTTGAGGAACACTCACGGTAGTAGAAGAGATGGAGTAGGCATGTCACCCGGGGGATGGAGGCTGGTTCCGAGGCAGAGGGCAGATTACTGCCCTGGGTGAATCACCATTACTAGGTGAATCACCATTGCACTAGAATGATGAATCAATATCACTGTCACTTGCAGTTGTCATGGCTTCCTGACAAATCCTCAAAATCAACTTCACTATCTTTGGCTTGGGCTGGCTGTGGTGAGTTCTTGAGCGAAGACACCGGTTATGCTTTGCTGGCGGCCCCAACTTTGATGTTGTCATGATACACACGTGATATGCGGCTCCATAGCCTGCACCAGTGTCCGAATATGGAAAGGCGATCATAGGCGTTCATCGTCAGTGTCGCGGGGAAGCGATGGACTTAATTTTCAGTAACTCTGAGACACTTAATATCACTATGGCTTAAACTAGGTTCTTGAATGGCCTTTGCTTCTTCCTCCTCTTCACTGGCGGGTTCTTCTTCAACATCTCGTCGGCAGTCACTTCAGGATCTCAAAGTCACCTCCATGATAATCTTCGTTGGTGGTCTCGGGAGAAGCCTTCAGCTGTAATACTGGCGCAGCTTCTCTGGCAAGATCCACTGCTACTGCAACAGTGCGAACCTGACCAATGATCACAGGTTCACTCCTCCTCTCACCTGGTATGCCATGCAGCACATGTCTCCATGCGTGGCGAATAAGTAGCAATAGTCAGCAGATCCCATGCCTCCACCAAAAGTCTACAGCTTGTTTAGCGTTAAACTTCTTCCAAAATTGTTTGGCCGAAAGTTCTTAGTCGCCGCCTCTTGTTCCTTGTCATAAATGGCTTTTACTCTACGCTGTCGGTGTCACCCAGCTTCATAACTCATCATGGTGTTGAAGGTAAGAGTCGTTAGGAGCTTGAATTCTTTGCGAGTAT